AAATGATCAAGATACCGTTTAGTACGCTTGAGAAGGATGTCGCTGCGGAGCGCAAGGTCAGTCCAATTCGGCCTCAGTGCCGAGGGCGACCACCACTGCTGTCTAAAGATGCTGAGGACAGAATCCGGGACTGGATCCTAGCTTGCCAAAGGTGCGGACAACCTGTTAGTCGTCACGACGTACTTAACAAGACTCAACAGATAGCTCAGCTATTGTGTGGATTGTCCGTTGGGGATGGGTGGTTACGTCGCTTCCTGGAGCGCTACCCGTCGCTTTCGCTAAGATCGTCACAGTCTGTGTCGAAAGCACGCAACGAAGTTGCTGAAAGCAACTTGTCTATACTGTTTTCATCGCTGGCAAAAGTGGTTATTGAACACAATATGGGCGCTTCTCGAGTCTTCACATGTATACCATACGGTATTACTACGAGGAATAACCTACTCCAAGGGGAAAAGCACTTAAATTTGACTGCATTTGCTCGCAAATTTTTTGTACCTCACTTGTTTCTTCTCTTGTGCTTCGGCCTTTTACCGGGCTTAAGTCCGCGTTTACCTTTGAAAACCTGAAAATGGAACCGCGCAGGAACCAAGCTAACTCTTAAAATGATTTTTCATGTGTCTATAAATGCCGGTGTACCTTCTAGATGGTCAATCGACCTTTATGAGCTCAAAATGCAAACTTTGTACACATTCGAAATTAGTACTGTACTTGTATAGATCAGCTTTTCCACTTAGATTAGTTACTACGCTCACAAATCTGCAACGGGTCGGCTTTGGTAAACTTCAGGTATTGTTATAAACAATGCACCGTCGTGTAGTCCGAGGACAAACCGTTGCTACCGGTACATGTTTTTATTACATGTATTAAAAATACCGGCGGTATTATTAAACCGCTCGGCATTGATTATTGATTTACCGGTAGTATTAACAGGGTTAATGCGCAGTCTGTAGGATTCTTCATTACCGACCAGTCTCATGACATCCGCTCCCTGTCATACGTGCTACAGTACATTTTTACTACAAAATATCGGTATCGACCTTCCTTAAAGGCAATTTTACTACAAAATATCGGTATCGTTCTTCTATAAAGGTATCTGTACCGGTACTTGAAGCTGAATACCGATTTTCCAGCAATTTTTTCTGACCAATTGTGCTGTATATGAGTTTACTTTTTTTTAATGAAGCATCTTCGCCACTTTGTCCGTCAAGTCTCGGCTAGATATAGAAGGATGCCACGAAAATACTTCATTAAATAAAGTGATGTTTCGTATCGGTGGCTCTCGACGTATCCGGTCGTACAGCTCCGGCGACTTGTGAACTTGCAAAACAAATGATGCACAGTTTTCCAGGTTCTCAAAGCGTCCGCAATCGATAAAACTGCCAGGATTAAACAATTGCGAGGCTGTCGTCGAGTTCCCCGAGTAGACTGGAATACTACCCGCAAGCAAAGGGTTGACGAGTTTTTCTGTCACGTAGCCTGGTTCTGCTGAATTTTCGAATGCGACTACAAACTTATAGCGCTTGTACGACATTACCGCTTCATCATTAAACCATTTAGAGTACCGTGACGGTTTATATGATTTGTCGGGGGGCCTTAAAGAACCAGCGCACATTCCGAGAGCGTCGACAGGTTCCATAGCGTTCAACAAATCAAACATGTACTCTCGATTTAGTCGATCACAGCGTGCGTACAAGTACGCACAAAAGCGGCGCTCGCTGGGCTCAATTAGTGACGTCGCCACTGGGGAGAGCAACTCTATCGGACTGTTTTGCAGTCGTTCGGCGAACGAAATACTTACAACTGGCAAGTAGACATGTTGCCGTCGCGATACGCTAGATACAGACGATAGTAACGAGACCCGCTCGTCCAAGTCCTTGGTATTAATCGCCTCACCCGATATCATCATTAGTTTGCTTTGTTCGTGGTACTCTTGTATGTAATAGGCGATCATTTCAGCACATCCAGAGTTCGCTATTGGCTCACAGTCTGCATCGAAAACGGAGAAGATGAAGACATCTGGCGTATTTGCGTAGTGCAGCCTCAGTACTATTTCAGGTACAACCAGAATGGGACGATTGTGGCGCTCGAATTTGGTCTTGAAGACACACTCAAATACAACCGATGCGTAAGAAGACTCAGTTGTGTATCCTACAATCAAGGGCGAAGCATCTTCATCCGCGACGAAAAGATTATGTCGCCACAGCTCTAGAAACGCGGGTCCAATAGATCCTGATACCTCCAGATTATGGAACTGCTGCTGGACCCGAGTTCGTAATTTTTGAGTTATGCTACGACACATCCACGATTCTGAATATCTAGTGTAAACTAGTGTCCGCGCCTCTAGACATACTCTTCTAGAAAAAGCACGAAAGGTCTCGGCCGATGGATAGTAAGACACCTTGACACCAGCAGTATCCTTTGTTGAGACCACGGCTGTGACGAATAAGTATTCCGTATCTTCGAGGTTATGCACGTAAGTCTGGATTTTAAATAGAGACGCAAAGCTGAGCTGGGAGGGCGAGTCAATATCCAAACCGAAGTGGTTCATTTGCCACGTTACCTCATCAAAACCGTCACACAACTCGCGGCTCTCAATCAGATTGGCATGAACCGATCGAAGTCCAAATGGTGACAAACCTGCCAATGATATGAGCTTATTCTGGCATGTATCGGTTGTCAAGCTTGAAAATGCCACGGTGCTCTCCACATGCACTTGTATAGCGAGTAACCACAGGGCTACACTGATATCGTCCACTCTATCTAAGCCACGTAATCTCTCGCTGTTCTTGGCGATGAAGCGAGCGCAATCCATTGAGAGCAAATAGTGCTGACCGAATGCGAATGGAGGATACGTGTCCAATGGATAAAGCTCCTTTGGAACATTATAATCATGCAGTGCACCCCGCATTTGTCCGATGTAAAGTCGCTGGGGACGGTCCTCCTTGCTCAACTCGCTTCTCAATCGATCAGCTCTGAGATAAATATTATCGTCTGCAATCATGACAAAAGATGCTGTCGAAAAATTTCGTGTAGCAAAGCGTAGAAAGGACTTGACTTTTTTTGGCTGCTCGTGTAAGTCTTCACAGTCCAATTCATCCGTTAGTAAGTCGCCGTACGTATGTTTCTCCAGTATAACTGCAGCACGTAGTCGTTCCCGCTCATCAGCGTTTCTAATACCAGTTAGGTCTAGTGCACAACCCACGAAATAAACTTTCACATCGTGTGGAAGAACATTTGGATTTGCCCAAGTTTTGCGAATACTCTGTCGAAATTCGAAATTTTCAACCACCGCTGTCTTGATTCCAATGATAAGAAACGTTTCATTAGAAGCTGCTGACTTTAATACATTGACAGTCGGTGGGCATTTTGTCAATAGTTGCCGATAAGTCGCCCATTTCAAGAGACCTCGCCCATTTCGAGAATCATCGTTACTTATCTCCGTCATCGCAGCACTGTATACATCGAACTCTTCCGTTGTTACAAGTGTAATAGCTATCGCTGATGTTTCATGATATCGAATAATACCTTGCTCATCGGTAATGAAGGCACGAGCGGAATAACTTCCAGGCGCGAGCCTGTCAAATCCAATACTAGCGTCGGCAATCGACCCGCACTCTCGCCACTTCCCGTTCAACTCGACACAAAGAAGTTTATTGCCATATTTCGCTCGGTATCTCTCGACACTTTGTACTTCAACGTTGACTCTGAAGACGAGAGGGAGCGTCTCGATATCTCCATCAACCGGGAAAAGGACACGAACCTTAAAAATGGGATCTTCTTCCTGAACTTCGAAAACGTCCTTAAGGAGCGACTCAACACGACAAAACCGATGTTCTCCTTCAGGAGTAGGAGACGTCGATGCAGCAGTAACGTATATACCAACGCACAAGCAATAGATCGTCAAAAATACCACATGACACCCGATCATGGCCGAGAAAGATTCGTTATCAGATTTACTTGCCTGATTCCAGCAAACTTTTGTTTTTAAAAAAACATGAATAATATTAATAAACTTCATTTTTTTCTTAGAAGGAGCTATGTGGTTGTCTTCATTTGCCACAATGCTCGGTTAAAGTTGTAGCACATACCACGTTTTTGAAAAAGGTTGTTGTGGATAGATCGGATCCCGTACGGTGACAAATCTGCAAATGAGGTCAGATCATTTTTGCAAGCCCCAAGGCGTAAATTAGCAAACGCAGGTGTGTGTTCCACGTGCACTTGAATCGTCATTAGCCACAGAGCAACGCTGACATCGTCAATCGCACCCAAACCACGCAACCTCTCGCTGTTCTTGACTATAAACCTTGCGCAGTCCATAGATAGTAAATAATGTGGGCCAAACGCGAAGGGAGGATACGTGTGCAGAGGGTAGTATTTCTCCGATACGTAGTAGCGTTCAGTTGGGTCGCGCACAGGTGTTTGACTGCGGCCAATGAGTTTATCCCACACTTGCCCGATATAAAGCCGCTGCCGGTGACGTACCGCCCGTAGTTCGTCGGCAAGCTTGTCCACTCTCAAGTAAATATCATCATCTGCGATCATAATGAAAGGTGTCGTTGCAAATTCTAGCGTGGCAAAGCGAAGAAATTCTGTGACTTTGTTTGGTAAATCAGCGTATGAGTCGTCGCAGTGTAAATCGTCCGTGAGCAAATCACTGTACGTTTGCTTCTCTAAGCTAATAGCGTTTCGAACCTGCTTTCGCTCGTCAGCATCATCTATTCCACTCAAATCTGCTTCACACCCGATAAAAAATACCTTAATGTCACGCGGAAGAGAGTCTGCACTCGCCCATGTCTCGCGAATTGCTTGTCGAAGATCGAAATTCTTTACCACCGCGGTTTTCACTCCAATCACGAGAAAAACATCGCTGGCATTCATTGTCGATGTCGTATCTTTGAGTGCAGCATCTTCATCACCCAGTCGACCGATTCCAGCAGCTTTGTTGACTATGTTCTCCAGTTCGTTTTGCCTTTGCGAAGCCCACTCCAAGAGACTCGATTCCTTGCTCTCACGACTCAAGTTTGCAGTATACGAAGCTAATGCCTTTCTACTCACAATAGAAAACCTCGTCTCCGATGTTTCGTGGTACCGAATGCTGCCAATAATATCTGATATGAACGCTACTGCGCTGTAGTTTCCATCTGGGAGATCATAAAAAATAATACTCGGGTTTGTCATGGAGCTGCATTTCCTCCGTGCCTCATTGACTTCGACGCATAAGAGTTTGTCGACGATGTATGATCTGTATGCCGCTATCGTCTTGATACCAATTTCAACGTGGAACTCGAGAGGTAGCGCCTCTATGGCTCCGCCGATTGGGGAAATTACTTTAAAATTCAGAACAGGACCTTCACGTGTTGGTAATCCTCTCTGCTCCATTTGGCTATCAATAGAACTCGAAGTTGCAGCCAGCGCAAGAGCCCATAAGCTAAACAACAGCAGCATGGGGCGGTTTGCTCGGAAAGATACGTTATCAGATACCTAATTTTGATTATCTGATAAGCGAATCTTTTTTAGCGAAGCGCCTCAAAGCCTGATAATTATAATGTCTGATTCGAACCAGACACTTAATTGTCAGGTCTTGTGACAGATTCTGAATCAGCAGAATTTCTGATTACATTTCTAATCGTCATACTTGTAATGGTGGGCCAGCAACCTCCACACGTGAAGATCTACTTTGTGGGATGCACGCCAGGTAGGGACGCCAATTTAGACGCCCTTGACCACCAACGAGCTTTGGTTGCAATAAAACTTGAGCGAGAGACCTGCTAACGGAAGAACTAGAATGTGACGACAAGTTTGCACTTCTAACAGAAAAAGTGGGTGCGTTCATGGAGTGGGTAGCTGCAGAATTACTGCGAACGGAGTTCGTCATGATTACAGACGACACATAGCTGATAAACTTATTGAAGATCTTGATTCGTTGCCGCGTGAAGGTGTATACATCAGTGAACAATCAGATACGCTGCATTCTGCTCCGTTAACTCCAGGCCGAGATCCAACCCATAAATACTACACGTCGAGAAATCGTTATCCGCACGAGCAATTTCCGCCGTACGCTGGAGGGCCACACTATCTATTATCCTTGGACTGCGTTCGATTCATTGGAAAGAACATCAGGCGGCTCAAAAGTCTTGGTGGGGAAGATGTCACTGTAGGCGTGTGGCTTTTGGCCATTCAGATTCATGTCCGGTATACTTCAGAATTCGCTACTGTAGTCTGCGGTAATGGCCTTGTATGGACAACCTCCTTTCGTTGGCAGATTTGTCGCCTGTGGGTATGCGGGCTATCCACGCAAATTTGCTTAGCAAGCGCAGCTTCTGCCACAACTTTGACCGCTGGATTTGGGACCAAAGGCCTGTTCTCGTTAAGTTCTGTACTTCATGGCGCCTCAACACGTATCTCCTGAATAATAGCCCTGAGTCCACTAATATAAGCATGTTTGTCACTTATCTCTTTATAATCACTTTAGTGACCTCCACACCGCCGCGTGGCTGAAGCAGCAAACAATAGATCGACGACACTCGGAGGAATTGAAGCGACTGAAGCGCAGAATGCAGGTCAAGTATCCGATTATGGGGTTGTCGTACGCCCGCGGCCTGCTCGCCATCTGCGGTGGCGGCGGCTCGCTCAAGTCCGGCATCAAGAACACTGTCGTACGTTCCGCGATGTTCCAATCCTCCTGTTTGTTATAAACTTACCTCTATATTACAATACAATCACTCTGACAGGACATCTACAAGCTCTCGGATACGGACCCGACGGGTTTCAGCAAGGAGATCACTGCTGACACCGGTCTAGAGCTGGCTTCGGGCGTAGCATTCTCCCACGACGGCCAGCTCATCGCTGTCTCAGTCAGCGCTGGTTGCTGGGTCTACGCATTGAACCTAAAGGAAAAGACCATCACTCTGCTCGTCAAATTCCGCACGGATTTCCACGACGAAGACAGCTCGCAGTCTTGCGCGCGCTTTGTAGGCAACTCCACCATCCTAACAGGCGGAGAAGACGGCGTGGTTCGTATCTGGCGTCTCAGTCGCGACCCGTCCAAGCCTGAGAAAGCTGCGGGCTCAGCCAAAGCTCTGACTGTGCCAGACGAGAGAGATCTCCATGCCAACGTGGTGACAGAAGAGCAGCCCAAGCTGGGAGACTGTGTCATCAAAGGAGCCAACATGGTCACTCTAACGAGGGAATACCGTGGTCACTCGAAGAGAATCCGAGATATCGACGTGGATCTTTCGCACCGCAACCTCGTGGCCTCCAGTTCAGAAGATCAATCGTGTCATTTGTGGAGACTGACCGAAGTGACGCCGATCTGCAAGTTTTCCAAGGATGACGCCTTGGATATTGCTCTCCAGAGACTACCCACGAAGCCTATTGTCGGACCACGCAAACATGTGTTCCGCTGTGTGCGCTTCTCCAATAGTGGACGTCGACTGTATACGATGTTAACGCCTGCACGTGGAGACTCGATTTTGATCAAGTGGAAGCCTGGGACTATTGCACAGGAGAGTGAAGAACAGTGGACGTGGGTGGTGGAAGAAACGGCAATTGCCGGTGAGAAACCAGTGGCGAGTCTGTGCGTGAGTCAGGACGACCGCTTTGTGTGCGCTGCAGCGGTGACAGGAGAGATCAAGGTGTTCCTGACGTCCACTCTGCGGCAGTACACGATCAAGTCGACGATGCAGCACTCGTTCGCTATCACTGGTATGAGTTTTGCTCCTTCGGCGGACAAACAAGCTCCTTTTTATCACTTGCTGAGTGGTGGCGCCGACAAGAGTCTGCTGCGTCATGAGATCCCTCTGGAAGGTGGCATTGTCAAGTCGGGGATGGAGATCGTCACTGGTGGCTTGACGAGCGCTGTGGGCGCTACTGTCGGTCTTGGATTGAATCTCTGGATGGCCACCACGCTGCTATTTATTCTCCTGCTATTTATTCATGCAAAGACGGCGATGCTATTGGATGGCCCACTGGCAGGCTTCAATGTACGTGTTGGAATATGTGAGAAGAGGTTTGCGAGCTCACTTGACTTACCTGTTGGTTTCTTTGTCACAGGATCTGACATCGCTAAGCTTTGATTCGTCCGATGGTCTGGTGACCATCGGCGCTCTCGTAGCCAGTTCTGTAGTCACGTGGCTCCTTGCGGCGCACAGTTCGGTGACGAGCCGATTCTTCTGGAACGGCCTGTTGTGTTTGCTGTCGGGTCTTGTGGCGTTCTTGGTGGCCATTTCGGCAGACCTCGAGGTGAACTGGCAAACTGGCGATGCCGCCATTGACGAGTTGCTCGGTACGTCTATTGAAGTAACCTTATTATTCTGTTGTCAGCTATACTAATGACTGTGTGGTGGCTGCCCTACAGAATACAAGATCGCTCTTCTCCTCGGCGCGTGCTGCGTCGCATTCTTCTTCTGCCATTCGCTGCTAGTGCTGACGCTGTGAGCTCAGTGCAAGGTTCAGTCAGAAGAAATACGTTAATTCGTCTTGCGTAGTCCCGCCCATACGATCGCACATTAGCTACGAAGCAGAAAGAGACATTGGCGTACAACGAGCGACACTTTAACCATCTTACAATGGAAGATGCGTTCAACGTTCTCATGACTACACTTTTAAGTATTTTAAAGGAATACTGGTGCGTAAATCTTTTGTTACTTTAAGCCGAAGCGTGTTGCAGCCATAGAGTGCTTCCCATCAGCTGAAGCCTTCAAGCAATCATCGCCACCGAGAGTATTTCGCGAAAACAGCTTAGACAGCCTTTCCTGAAGCAGTCATTTAAGGACTACACGTAACGTTTCGTTTATGTGTTTCTAGAGGATTCAACACTCTTTATCCAAAAGTCAATTGGTGCAATCAATTACGTATAATTTGATTAGCACTACATTAAAGAGGGTTTTGAGCTGACGACCAGCCTACCAGCAGGTTAAGCACGCGGTCTCAGCTGGTGGTGATCTCTCGACAGGCCAAGCGTAGAAATCAACGACGGATGCATCGGCACATGGTCCGGCAATCGGTGACCTCGATCTCTGTCGAGTTTAACGACTTCTTTTAATCGGTCATTAAGCATTTTTCGAGAACGAGCGATGGTTGTCCGAGTTACTGCAACCTTTGCCTGTGCACTTGCTAGCTTGCAGTACTTTGCTGGAGCCTCAACGTCAAGTCCAATAACCGATGGTGGGTTTTCGACAGGGGCCTAGAAGCCACTGGATTCCTCGAAATACACGATCGATGCACCGTGTGAACGTCAGCAATGGAACTTCACGCAGGACTCGGCCAGTGCAATGTGGCTCCACTTTTCGTCCGTGAATCTCGCTTCAGGTTCTCATCTGGTCGTCTCGCCACTAAATGGGTCTCGAGCGATAACAGTGGCGTCACCGTCCTCAAGTGTCACCACTACTCCTCTTTCCGGGAGTGGAATCTCTGTGCAGTTTGTACCTCCCAGTAAAGGGTGTTTGCCCAACAGCAACTCAACCTTCGTGTTGGACTCGATTGGGTACTCATACTCTGAATCTGAAGACTCGACGGTTGAGATCGAGGAGAGAGCGATTTGCGGCTCTGCTGATACCATGAAGAACATGGTGTGCTATTCAACGGGCAGTGAAGGAGACAAGACCATAGTGTCCAAGGCTAAGGCTGTGATGCGCACCCAACGTACGCGAGAAGACAACGCTATCGTCACATGCACGGCATGGCTCTGGGGTAACCAAGGACACATCATCTCGAACAATCACTGTTTCTCGAGTCAGGAGATGGTCGATGCAGCCAAGTTCGAGTTTGACGTTCAGACTACCGGGTGTAGCGACGATTGCGCGTTTGCTACCTGCCCCATTGGCAAGACGTTGGTCGGTAAAGACAACGTGAAGTTCATCAAGTCCAACGCTACACTCGACTACTCTGTGCTGCAGATTACCAACGACGCTGCGTCGTATGTGAGCAGCTATGGATTTCTGCAGATCCGCAATACTGCACCGAGCAGAGGTGAAGAGATCTACATCCCACAGCACCCGAAGGGAGGTGCGAAAAAGATCACGACAACCCAAGATGATGCCGGTTCGAAGGCGGCTCTTGTGCTCAACCTCGACTTTTCAATCGCAGTGGCAGGAGTCACGTATAACCATCTCATCGCGTATTCTGCTGATACAGAAGTGGGGAGCTCGGGTGCACCAGTAATGTCACGTGGAGACAACTCGGTGGTGGGTCTGCACCGTATTGGAGACTGTAATAATGCGGCCACCCCATCGGACCAACTAATTAGTGCGCTTCAAGCCGTTGTGTCTGGCAACGATGGCATCAAGACAGCTTGAATATCTACTTCAAATGAAGTACTTGTACAGTAGAGTAAGTAGACTGTATTTGTCGTGAGTGTGAATGGGAGTAAATATGGTGTCATCAATTAGAAAATGTACTACCGGGTGGTTCGAATGGTAGAACTCTTGAAGACAGCTTAATTGTTTGAAGACGCCGCGTTGCTCAGAGATGTTGAGCATCCGATAGCGGCGCATTCTAATAGCTCTGTCTTGGGGTGGTGCCTTACTGTCGGGATCGGAAATACGAAGACTGAACCTGGACGAAGCTAGCAATCCATTGCGCACCGAATCACTTAAATCGATATTGGGGAGACTCCGGCAGACCAAAGCGGCCGTCCTCCTTGGCATCTCCTCCATCGCAATGAAGCGTTAACGAGCCTATAAAACTCACCCAACAGCAGCGATAAACGGGTTTCGTCGGACATAGTAAAGAAGATATCTATAGAAACAAACCATAACAGTTAGTTAGCCAACGACAAATAATAACGCCCACCTCATTCGACGTACGCTTGGGAGGTTGTAACTTCCTCCGCTGACACCGTCCTGACTTCCACGTCGTCGAACAGTATCCACCGCTGTACCTCATCCCGCACATACGAAGTGTAGTGACCTCCATTGACTGACTCTCCGTGGTGGTTAACCACCGCCATAAGATCGTACACGTACTCGCTTGGGTCTTCAGGTCTCCCATTCTTACTATCTCGCTTCTTTCGGTCGCTGGCTTCATCGATCCCCACTGATGTAAATGGTCTCATATTGAGCCCCGTTAAGGGGAACTGGACCGTCTGCTTCAATTTCTGTTGGCGGTAGAAATCGAGACGGCGGATGTGGAACACCAGTACATTTGGTAGCGTATGCAAGTTGAGGCTCTTGTAGTGCGTCTGGTAATTGGAGCACCTTACACAGTAGACTTGATTAGACCCTCGAAGCTCTTCTTCGACTGCGAACTGACGCACTAGGGACTCGAGTGTTAGCTCTGTCGAGTCTTTGCCACCTTTCGAGCTCTTGTTCTTCTCGTCATTGAGAGATAAAGACACATCCAAGAACGGATCGAACTTATGCGAAGCATTGTCGCAGTTCCCACAAGCCAATTCAGACCGGAGTACACCGGAGAAGTGTTGGTGCACTGCGCAATCGCATAAACTATGTCCTCGTGGAGTATATCTCGGAGACGCACCTCCATGAAGGAATACTCGAGGGTGAGTGTGAGAGTGGAGGCCGCCTAGAAGCGCGATCAGCAACTCGTGTGCGTCGTGTTGCGCTGTGCCAATAAACGAGGGAAACGCGTTCCACATGGCTTCAAGAATCCCTTGCGGCGCTATGGGTGACGCCATCAAAGTCTTCTGACGTAGATGTGCAGAAGGAGGGACCAGGAGCGCCATGAACGATGCGAGTTCGCAGCCCAGACACACAGTGATCGCAGGATCGGGGCCACGTTTGGTGTGTTGTTCTTCGTCGTTGCTGCTTTCTGTCTCTTTCTCCGTCTTCAGTTGTTCTTGCCGTTTCGAGAGCAGGCGCTGTCTTTGCTGCTGGCAGATCGTGGTATCATGGCTTTTCGCCACGAAAAAATAGTGTTGTAGCATGGGATTATGGGCCAAGGCTTGTAACACTGCGCTCATGAAGCACGTATTGCCCATATTCACCAAACCTCTTTGTAGCAGTTTATGATAACTCACAGCTCCCCGAATCTGCCTCTTGCGTCGTCGTCTGTCACCCACAGCTGCGTCAGGGTAGATGAAGTCCCGACAGCTCGCACAATAGAGCTGTTTCTTCCTCTCCATCATTGCTGTAGCCACAATACAGCACTTAGATAATCTTTAAAACGTGTAAAAATATCCCCGTTCACCTACCGATGTTATGACTGTGCAGTATAGCGTGCGCCATGAAGCTGCCATCGTCTTCGCCGTCCTCGATCTCTTGCATCTGCAGCTTTGACGGCTCCCGAACCCCTCGGAACTTGCACGACAGACAGCGATACAGTTCGCTCGATGGGTCAGCACGCGCTTCCTACCGACAAATGTCATATAGTAAGTAGAAATGCTAATTGTGCCCACGATATCAGCCTTTCGTACTGGATCCAGCGCGTAATGCTGCAGTTGTGCGACATCCGCGGCTTTTTCCGCCACTCTCTCGTCGCGTATATCATTCCATGCTGTCATATTCTCCTTGGTGACGTGTATACACACTGCACCACTGCACACCAGACGTCCGCGCTTCTCCCCTGGTCGGGCATCTTCCTCCTTCATTGTCATTTTCGGTAAGCTTGAACAATGTACCCAGGAGACGGTACCACTCATCTCTCTCCCTATTGGCTAAAACAGAGAGCAATATTTATTCTGTACTCACCAATCATATCCAACTATTCCTCATTTGCTGATCGAGTAATGGAAAGCCACTTCGAGCGAGTGCTGTCTGCGGAGTCGGCCCCCAAGCGCCCCGCAGCGTCTTCCTCGCTTCCTGCCAGTGCAAAACGTGCTCGTGTGTCTCGTGAAGCTGATGCCGCAAAGATCAGTGCGATCGTGGACGGTGCCGAGGCGCAGGAGGGTGATGCACTTGACGCCCGCGCACTCAAGTCCATGGCTAATTCCCTTAAGAAACACGTGCGTCGCAATGCGTTGGCGCGAGAAAAGCACGCATACGATCCAACCAAGTTCTTAGAGTCGGAATTGGCACTCGACAGCGAGCTGACGCGCTGGAAGCAGGTGGCAGCTAAGCCGGAGCTCTTCGCTGTCATGATAGAACTGCAGGTGCCGCGTGTGCTGTTGGGACTATTTGCACACGAGAACCTCGACATCCGATTGGCTGTATTAAGTCTACTAGGCGAGCTCACAGACGTAGACGACGCTGCGACGTCCCTGGAGCCCGCGAGATTGCTAACCAAACACTTGATGGACGAGAAACTGCTCCCCTTGCTAGTATCCAATTTGTACCAATTAGCAGCAGCAGTGGAAAACACACAAGCGGAAGAGGAGACGACGGGGATTTATAACTCCTTACAGATTCTAGAAAACATGGCCGATCTAGAGCCCCAAGTGTGTGTCCAAGCGGCGGAGACCTCGATCTTGCCTTTTCTTTTGCAACAAGTGTCGCCTGGGAGGAAATTTAGTGAGAACAAGCTGTATGCGAGTGAGATTCTATCTATTCTACTGCAATCTGGGGCGGAACCGAGAGAAGAGTTCGTGGCGTGGACAGGAAAAGACCGACCGAGTGAGGACAAGACAACGGAGAAGCAAGGGAAGGTGGATCTCATGGACGATCTGCTCCAGGCTCTTGCGCCGTATAGGAAGAAAGACCCTGACAGTGAAGAGGAAGAGGAACTGGTGGGAAACTTAGTGAATGCGTTGTGTAGTGTGCTGCTCGTCCCCGAAGCTCAGACGCAGTTCCGTCGCTTGGAAGGCCTCGAGCTGCTGCTGCGCTTTATGAAAGATCGAAAGCGGTTCGTCTTCAGTGGCGCGCTGCGTGCTATGGATCATGCTCTTATGGCCAGTGCCCGTAACTGCGAACGTTTGATTGAGATTGGCGGTCTGCGTAGTGTGTTCTCAGTCTTTATGGGACGCCATGGCAAGTACAAGTCCAGTGGTAGTACAAAGGCGAGTCAGGCGAGTGAGAAGGCTAAGGAAGAAGAGAATGCCGCCAGTTTAGTGGCATCCATGTGCGCGTGGGTGAGTGAGAAAGCTCCGGCGGATGGATACAGCCGCCTGCACGCTAAGTTTGTGGAAAACGACATGGAGAAGGTGGATCGATTGGTGGATTTGTTTGCGAAATATCAGGAACGAGTGGAGCGAAGCCAGAACGAAGAGGAGGAAGAGGAGGATGACGACAGTCGATATCTACGACGTCTAGATGCAGGTCTGTTTGTGCTGGAGAGAACTGCGTTTGTGGTGGCGCACTTGTGTCAGTTCTCAAAGAAAGTGCGAGCTTACGTGATGGTCAAGTTCCACGAACGCAGTATCGACAGTGAGAGTCTTGTGGCGGTTCTAAGAGAGCAATTGGATCTTCTGGTTGCCGACGAAGCAGTCGGGGAGGAGGATGAACAAGGTCCCTCCAAGGAGGTGAAGACCGTCGTGAATGATGAACCCAAGAGAGCACAGAAGGCGCAACTTCGAGAGCTACTGGAAGCGCTTGAGGCCGACGATACACCGGATACGAACGGACAGGAAGGGGCTAAAGAGACGACCGAACGTGACGAAACAAAGGTGGAACGTGGCGATGAGAAGGAATTAGTGTCGTCATAGAATGATTATTTCATATCGAATAACTGGAAACTTCACAAGTCAATGTGTTATTGTTCTTTATCGATGTAGTCAATGTCATGTTACGCTAAATGGTCTGCGGTACAGCTGCAGGAATCACAAGAGCTAGTGGTGGTGACGATACTGCATCGTCGTCTCTAACATTGAGCATCATGTGCTTCTCTTCTTCATTGTACAGTGCAGATAATGGTGTGGGTACGTCTTGTAAAACTGGTGCTGATGTCGCTGCTGATGAAGTCGGTTGCATTACCGAGACGCAAGGTCCTTCCTCTTTTGTTTGAGCATCTGACCGGGCACTGGAATCTTCTTCTTGCTTCGTGTCTACCGGTATCTCCACAGCTTTAGCTGAATTTGTTGGAGGAGCTATACCGTCAGTGGATTGTTTCCGCTCTCGAAGGTGTTTCGTATCGGTCGGTATATCCTCTAGAGGCTGGTCGTGGCCTTCGCCGTAAAGCATCGCTGCAAGCATCGGTGAAGGTCCCGTTTCGGCTGCCGGTGGAGGTTGGTATTGCTCCTCCCAAAGCGTCTGAATGGGAAGAAGAACTTCAAGTCGAAAGACCTTCCACCGCTCGAATGCTGAGTTCCCAATAAACAGTTGAGAGGATTGTGCAAACGCGCTTGTGAGCGCTTGATCCAGCGAGATAGCGACGTCCAGGAACGCAGGAGGTGGTGATGGTTTCTTAACTTCACTTGCAGTAGTATCGGGTACTGTAGTCCAGCCGTAAGACTTCAACACAAAGTCGAGTGCTCCTCCAAGTAACAAGTGGATACGTAGAGGATCTGTAGATGATCGAAAAGCTGGCAGCTCCTTGCCAAACATGAAGGGAGAGTCCTCAAGAGCGACAACGAACAGCCGTGCTATAGCGCAGTGCACAATTGACGCTTCGGGGAATCGTGTGATCAGTTCTAGAAGGGTATCGAGCGTCTTGGTGCGAACGATCAGCGTATCCGCTACAGTGCACGACACGTTTAATACTGGTAGCATGAGATAGATCAGCTGAACATGTGTGGGATTAAAACGCCACTGTAACGATGTTGTCTCGGTTGAGAAGAACGATAACACTGTAGGCAACTGCGACAGAAAAACTTGCCAAACCAAAGGCAAATCTTCATGAGGACTGCCTTCTGTACACGCAGCAGTGAGGGCATCGTCGCCTTCTTTCGAGCCAACGTGTGTTGCAGCGGTAGCTCGGCAAAAAGCTGCTTTCGTCACACAACCACATTGGTTTTGTTGCAGTAGTGAGTTCAACACTTTCAAGACGTGGGACTCATTCGCGAACGACGTCGGAAGTTGACGTAGATCACGCAACGCAGCTTCAATCAACTGTTCAGCATTTGACTTAGATTCACTAAGCGACGTCACCATTGCAAATCCCAGACTGCCTTCCCGTTTCTCGTGAATGAGGTCTGTCAGCAAGTCACAAGTGAAAATCATTCGCGAGAATTGAAGCGTCTCGATATCTTTTGCCACACGTTGGTGCAGTTTTTCAGACACGCGGTCATTAATCTGCTGGAGAGGATTTATGGGTGAAAGCTGTAGTAGCGAGATACCAACCAGTGTCTCCACTTCGTATTCAGAGCTGGTTCCAGGAAGGTCATTGCACATTCGAACCATGACATCCCGCAAAGGTTCATAAAATACAAGCAACAGTAGTGACTCGAGAAAAGTTTTCTGCTGTCGAAGATTTTTGTCAAAAAGTGCCATGAACGCTAGCGGCGAGTATTGATCCATAAAGGCTGCAATAAAGCGAGCGAAGGCTTCGAGCGTCATGCTGTCACGTGAGTTCAACTCGGCCAAAGTTTGGGCGATCAAAGCTCGTGGTTCGCCTTTTAGAGCAGTCATAGCTGCCAGTAATTGGTGAGAGAAACCTGATCCACATAATACCCAATGAGCGCGAAATGCGGTCGCGTATTTTTCGTATGACGGGGGGTCTCCGGGCTGTCGTGCTGCTGCAGCTGTTGCCCTAGCGGTTGGTGTAGGCTCTTGGAGCATCGTGCTGATCAGACACGTTACTAGGTAAGTAGGACAGACTTGTTAGCTCGAGATCTACTTTTTTTTTTCTTAAGATAATTACTCATCATACAATTGTCTGGAGCCATGAGGAACTGAAGCAATGGCAGGTACTCATCCGAGAGAACTGTGACTTCACTCAGCACCTGCACCAAGTCTTCTTGCTGGAGAGCGTCGACCACGCTACGCAGCGCCAGTATTTCGGCTAGGCGCTCTTTCATGCCACAACGAAAAGCAGGAACGACCAACCACCAATCTAACAGCAAAGCCAAGCCGCACAATTCGTCACCAACTGGGCGATGATATATGGCGCTGACCAGATCTAAGTAGGAGACTAGTTGACAACTCAAGACTATAAATATCCCGTCATTTTATGACCAAAATTATCCAAATTGTAAATGGACAACATTATTCGAAAAAAGGCTCGTTGAAGTCAGTCTGCATTTTTGACCTATCAAAAGCGTTCATGTTTGATAGAAAAACTTTATGCGTCATTTTCGATTTGGAGACAAGAACCCCACGAGACAAATCGGAGACTTTCCAACACGGTTGTCTACAGTCGCTGACCATAATGGAGAAAGCCTTCACGAACGCCAATTGGTCTGCGCACGCTAAGACTTATAGCTCGGTGTTCAGTACGCTGACTGCTCGTTGGGCTGCGGATTCGCTGCAAATTGCGCATCATGCGATCCTCCAGAAGCTGCAGCAGCACGAGGCCGAGAGCCTCCCCACTCCGTTCCACTTCTTGGATGTCGGTTGTGGCCCTGGAGTGCTCAGCTTCGAGTTCGCACGTCGATATCTCACTTCCCCGACGGAAATCAGCATCACGGCTTCGGATCTTTCCGAAGGAATGCTGCAACAACTGAATGACAAATTCAAGGACGATCCGACACTGAGTCCGTTCGCACCCAAGTTCACCACGTTGCAATGTGACGGAATGGTGTTGGAGGAAATCTCTGACGGGTCCGTGGATGTTATGGGGTCAAATTTTGGCTTGGGGATCTTTCCGAATCGCGTTAAAGGGTGGAAAACAGCCCACCGGGTGTTGAAGGAGGACGGACTATTGATCGTCACGACCTGGAGCGACAAGAGCTCGCAGATGCGCTGGTTCGATACGATAACGGACATGTTTAACGCCGCAGAAGGCGACGGAGAGCCCCTAGACCCTCCGTCGTTCGTGGCAGGTACCGACAAGAAGCGGATCTTGATGGAACTACAAGACGCTGGGTTCAAAGACGTTAAGACGTTCTGTACGACGCACACCATTGTGTTTGATGACCCCAAGATGGTCATTCAAGCGAATATGAACAACCCATTTACTACCAAGTTTTTGGAGAGACTGACGAAGGAGCAAATGGAACAAACTCTGACCGAGTTGATGCAGAAGGACGCACAAGAGAACTATTACCAAGAAGAAGGAGCAAAGATGGATAGCACCGATGCATTTGCAGATAAACAGCCGCGTCTGATTCCGTTCATCGGATTTACTGTAGTTGCGCGCAAGTGATTTAGCTACCAGTGACATCGTACCACGTACTGTGTCTGAAGGGGCAAGCGTGCTCTTACAAGGCCCTTGTTACACCTAAATCTTCTTTAAAATAATCGTATGGTAATGCGGAATTCTGCGGTTCAGATTATTCCAGTTTCCGGTGTAGTTTACTCGACGAAAAAAAAGAACTTTTTTAACAATGCTCGTCAGTATTTGTAACGCGCGGTCAGTCGTCTCGAACACTGTACGAATAGTACGAACGAGCGCACGTCTTGCAAGGCTTTCGATGAAGATGGAGACAGTCTATTCGCATAATACTGAACTTTAACCTTTGAGAGCTGTCTCGAGATTTCTGCCTGGTTGCTCACTGTTGAAACGCCTGACCAGCAGGTACCAATGCCCAGCGCATTATCACTTCTTACGTATGTCGCTGTGACCACTGTATTCTTCACTTATCAAGCGACTGCTACTGCATCGACGGACTTTGTGGACGTGTATTACCAGATCTACAAGAACCAGGCGAGCCAATTCAAAACCACTACCGTGAAGTATGAGATTAGCCAAGATATTCCAGACGAAGTGACGGAGAAAGTGCAGCCTTTTGGAGTGAACTTTAGTACTCTTCCTGATCTCCTCCAGCGTGCGTTGATTTGGGATAGTGGCTTTGCATTTGGCGACAAGGGATCGCTCGCGAAAGTCTACACACTGTGTACATCGAATAACTCTAGTGCCACCATGGAAGATCTTGCTCTCACGCAGCGACAAGTGGCAAATACTAGTTGTGGTATTCAAAAATGTTTAACCGATGACTCTACAGCAATTTATTCGAGTTTTTCTTCGGACTGTGGCCCCAGCCAGCTTAACAATATCGCACAGTGTGCATGCTCCTCCGTAAAGACAACGGCGAACACTATCCCCGTTTGGGCTACTGGCGAAATATCATTAAACGGCAGTGTGATACCGGAGACGATAATTCGACGCCACACATGGAATAATTATACTGCAGGGCGTTCAGCTTTATTATTCGCCATCCATACGAGTAGCGTGCAAATCGAGGACGCAAATCCAGATCTATGTGACTCCAAAGATCAGTCTTATTCGCTAACAATCCCATGCATCGAATATCGCGCTTCAGATGATCGATGGTGTCGTCCCAAGAGCTCTCCGTTGGTACTGAAGTGGCTGAAAAAATATGTTACTGCTCTCCAGGCTTCACATTCAGCAGAATATGAAGCAAAGGACTCAGTTATTAGCGCAGATACCGACTTTAACAACGATGACAACAAGAACACGACCTCATTACAGCTCGATGCCCGATCATCACACTGGCGCAATACAATTCCCGTGATTATTGTAGGAGCAGCAGCGATGATAGTGACGGGGATTGCGGTCTTCCTTTATCTACGACAACGTTCGGAGATACGTAAAGCAGATCTGCAGAGCTCAGGAGCAAACCAACTAAGTATGAGCAGTACCCAGAGCAGCCACGGTTCCAGAAAAAACCCCAACAACCAGCTCAATGGCAGAGAAGATATCTTCGGGAATCCACATATCCTTCGCGACTGTATCGAGATATTAACGTCATCACCTCTTTCACTATCTCAGACTGGAACTGCGGAAAGTCACGCGTCTAATAGTCCCAAACCGGATTGCTCCAAGGACGCTGATGTCCTCAATACGTTAATAAACGACCCGCAGTTGAAGCATGCACAGATCCCCTTTGATCGCCTACAATTCCATCATCTCATAGCTCGAGGAGCTCATGAAGTGTGGCTTTGTGTACTGCGCGATCGTTGCGTTGCCGTTAAGAGACTACCCAAGGACGAGCGGAAAAATTTGGACGAGATACGGGCGTTTATCGAGACTATTCGATTGAGTGCGTTTCTACAACATTCGAGTATTTTGAGCTTTATTGGCGTCGCATGGAGCTCCTTACAGGATCTCTGTCTTGTGACGGAGTATCTGGAACTCGGAGATCTCCAGGACTATCTCCGGCAATCGAATCCTAACCGGGATCAACGTGACATTTACGAAGATTTCATGAGCTTCTCCTTGTCATGGAAAAGCGAGAAGATGCAGCTCCTTCTCGATATCACGCGAGGCCTCGTCTACTTGCACCGTAAGCGTATTATTCACGGCGATCTCAAAACCAGAAACGTGCTGCTGTCGGCTGATCTGGATGCCAAGTTGACCGGATTTGGAGTTGTCGGCTATCGCAGAGAAAACCAACTGGACAAGTCGCACACTTCTCGGCCAAATACTCCGTTCTGGACAGCTCCAGAGGTTTTGGCGGGTGGAACACCGTCACGGAAAGCTGACATCTACTCGCTCGGCATTCTAATAACTGAGCTGGATACACATCGGTCGCCTTACGCGACCGCCTTAACAGCTCGAGGTCGTCGAATGCCACCGAGGCAAGTGTTGCAGCACATCATGTCGGGTCGCTTAAAGCCCTGTTTGTCTCCGACTTGCCCGAATGAGATCGTGGACTTAGTAGAATTATGTCTTCAGCCTGACCCGGACGCGCGTCCCAGCGCTAGTGATGTCGTACAAGCCATTCGAAGCATTCCTGGTTTCAACCTCGATGAGTTCAGTCTGTAGATTATTTATCCGCACGTTTAAAAAAACTTATAAAATTACGGCGCAACATCGATTGAATTTAAAAAGAGAGGAGAAACGCTCCGAAGCCTCGATACAATTTAGTGACTTGCTTTCTCTCCAGATGCCAACCGGAGCATGAGGAAATCCCACCAAAGAAGAGGGGTGCGATTTTGAGTGCGCCCTGATCAACGTGAAGGGTACCTGCTTCCCATTGGCGATCGAGAAGAGTAAAAGACAGACGATCTATTACGGCGGGCCTGCACACCCCAATGCCACTCAACCCTGTCAAACGACAGCATTTTGATATCGAGCATGCAGAATTACTACGTCGTGAGCTCGAAACTGTTGCTCTCTGATATGACCTCGGCCTTGTTATCTCACCACTTAAAGAACGTTCGGCGCACTGCTCCGATTAACAAGAATGCCATCGTGTCGATGCAAATGTATTTTTCAATGTCACTACTTGTGACGCAGGCGAATGCCGCTCGATTAGGCACCATATTTCTGGGTGGGTGCAGAGGGAAGTACCTAATTACGGTTGGCAGAAATACACCACCGAGTCTGGAGCAAAGTCCTGGCCCAGTTGCTACGTCCAGTGTACTACGTGCGATGTTGTACATATTAACGCTGTTAATGTTGTGAAAATCGTCATTTGCACGCGTACTCTTTACTGTACTAGAGCACTGTTGCCTTGGACCAGGATATTGTCAAGCAAGTCGACAATTAATCGTCAAAATATTCTATAATGTTCGTTTAACGCACACGCAGAATATATATTGGAGCCTTCATGAGAGAGCCCACCTTGTAGTTACTCACGGCTGACCTCAGTTACGTAGTCGACTTGTTTCGTTTTCCTTCCAGAAGATAAACGTTTTCTTCAGCCATGCTTTGAAGTTCCCCCATGCTCCGAAGCTGGTATCGCGTCTGTCATATGATGGCCCCCCAAACAGATTTCGCTCCTCATTCACTGAAGGCTGGGCATCAGTCTTCAAACTGATTTTATTTGCAGTATCGACGGCATCGCTTACAGAAATTAGAGCGACCAAAGCGAGGAAGACGCAGATCACAATGGCAGAACGCATGCTGAATTTTGTTTGACTTGCACGATGGGAATTCCGAAATGATCATCACTTCCATAGGTCACGGCCGACAGGCGTAAAAAGTGAATTTGTAGAATAAATAGCCCTCAGGCTTGTTACTTGGTAAAAACAAATCTTAAGCGAATTTATCCATACAGTATTGATCAAAAAGAGCTTTCGCAACTGTAATCAGATTCCGATATCGGTAACAAAAAAAGGGAGCGGCTGGTTTTGAAATCTCGATCTGTAGAGCATAAAATTATTACGCGTGACAGGAATACCCGGCTGAAAGTGGCAGTTTCAGCTCAAAGTCTAAACACAAAAAGCAAAAACGATTCCAAAACGTACAAAACCGATACAGGAATTAACACATCCTGGGTTGATTGTACAGAAATACTAAAATACGGCATACGGATTTAGTGGGACAACCATCTTTGGACTGCAGCCTGCTATTACTGTGCTGCAAAATACTTTCCAGCGAAGCTTTACGCCTCCTCCAACCATGGCGTTTGATGAAGCGATGCCTCCGTCTAGATTGGCCTTCAACCGCATGTATATACAAGCCAAGCCTCACAAATAGGGGTTTAGCTCTTCATGCTGTGCTGCTCTCAAACGGCTTTCTGCATCCGGTACGTGGGTATCGCCCGCTTGGGTGCGTAATTATTTCGCTCTAAAGCTGTCTTAGTCTGCTACACGCTTACACATTTTTTATCGGGCCCAATACAGTTTCGAGGTTTACTGCGATAAGCGACACATGCAGGACGGCAGCTCTCCACTCGACCAGAAATCCGGCCCTGCAGTAGTGGTGCGGAATCTTCTTCATGTATTTAGCCTCTGCCCCCCCCCCGACTTCGGACTGGTCGTAGCAGATCGATTTTATACGTCCGTGGTGCTAGCAACGCAACTACTTATAATGTCTTTCTACATCGCTGGGACGATAGTAATGTACAAGAAAGCAAGGCCTGTGTGAGGCGATCCTACCTCTCAAACCGATAATGGGTGAAGAGCGTCGATCAAGCGACCGGCTGACATTGATAGAGGAACGTACGACGTGGAGGCGACCGTTCATACTCCGGCGATGAAAGCAATTCGGTGGAACGACATGCCAGAGGTGCACATTTTAACGACTGGTGAAGGTGCACAGCAGATCAAAATTATTCGACCTGGCCCAATTTCGTCGTCGGGAGGCGAAGTAATGGCTTTAAGAGTAGTAAAAGATTACCAAACCTTCATGGCGGGTGTCGATGGGCATGACCAGTTGCGCCTCCAGGGGTAAGTTGTCTTATCGTGTATGGGCAACTTTACCATTCAGGCTAATCATGTCTGCTACATTAACTACATAGTTACTCGTTACAGTTGGCAAGACAATACAGTAAAAAATGTCCTCGTCGCTGTTTCTGCGTCTTATTGATCTCGCAATTATCGATTTATTTATTGCCTTCAACCGCCGGCTGGTGAGGGATGTTGAGTGCAAGCTATCACACGTGTAATATTTGAAACGGATCCATCTCGAGCTATGCCAGCTTCACCCAGAAGACTAATAGAGGTACTGCGTCACCGAGGTCTCCAGCTAAATTAACTAGAGATCAAGAAGCCGCCCTGCACGTCCCTGTGCAGACTGGTGAGTGGCGTTAATGCAGTGCCACACAAGTTCGAAAACGCCGCCAGCGCGCCTGTAAGACCCGCTCCTTGCTCAAAGCAGAAGGAGATACGCTCGGGGGCGAGACGCCGTTCTTCTGCAGCGGGTTTAAGCAGAAAACGGCTTCTAAAACCGCTCTAGCAGCTCGGGTCTGGCTTTGCAACCAGCTGAAGCCCCCTCTGAACGATGTGCTAGCGTCTTGCATCGAGATCTGGCATAAGGATTCGACGAATTACAACCTTACCTTCCTCATACACGAAACAAACGCCGGATTCGTGCCCGTAAGCCGAAGAGACACACCAGCGAGAATGAATGTAACGCTGACAAGTCCAGGCCGTCGAGCGGTAATTCCAGATGCGAGAGATCCCGGCCACACAAATGATTTCGCTGAAATGATGACGTGGTTTAGGCAGGCTCTGGCTCTGATTTTGACTTGCATTGAAAAATTTGTTGTCTTGTATTTCTAAATATCGACAAATAGCTGGACTGTCTCCACTTTGAGCTGTATCGTCTTTGTGTAAAAGAGACACACTAGTAAGTATATCGTGTATCTGGTGGACACGATTCGAGAGGAAGCCACGATAGCAAAGTAAGGGATTGGAAGTTCGGACCGGCTCTAGTTCAGAGCCATTAACATATATATTGAGTAGATTATGGGGGCCCATCTTTCAGATAAAGATCTTTCAGATAAACCTTGACGTGTGTAGGTATGTGTGAGATGGTGAGCACCAAATGGCCTCGGGCTGGGGGGGGGGTATATATTGACTTCGACTGCTGCACACCCGCATAGCAGTATACCCATCGCTCTCATTTCAGGGCCCATGGGGGTGGCAGGTCGCTCTTTAAAACCCGACCAATGACGCTGCCGCGTTGTATCACGCTGTCGCTTTGATGCAGCGCCTCTTCAATCGATACTTCACGGTTCATTTTCACGTTCCTCAAACAGCAAACCATCGTCTTTAGAAACGCGCCTCGGAGGTCATTTGGTCTATTCTGAGCCAAGCCCTTGTCCCATACCTGTTGCGCCCCCTTGAACAGATTTAGGTATATCCTTTTCTTTGATGGGGGTTGAAGGCAAAACACGCGCCCTCGAGGCAGCGGTACCACAATGGTGCGATTGGGGCGTAACGTCGAGGAATATAAACTGAAGTGGGTGTGAAGCATGGCGTACGGGTCACCTAGCACAGCCAACAACCTGGCAGAAAGCCTGGTACAATTGCGCCTGGACAATAAGAGTAATTCGGACAGCAGATGCATGCACACGCTGCCAGTGATATTAGTCACTGGATACAACAGAAATCTAATGAGTACCTTTCATTGCTCGATGCCCCGACGCTATAACGGCATGGGATGACCTGGGCTTTCCGGACCCAGGGGGGGGGGGCTGAGAAGCTCGCTATGAAGGTCGTTGTTTGTCGCTAGCTTGTTCAATATTAATGATTATAATAAACACTATAATTGACTGTTCTGAAAATCACAATCAACAATCACAATTTAATAGTAATTATTGCAAAACTACAAGTTTTTGCGGATCAACTACTATTGCAAGGCAACAACTCGATTTGTTGTTTTGCATGTGCAACGACGACAAAACCCGGCATGTAAGGGTTGCGTGGTTTAAAATCATTTAATTATTAAATTTATAGAGCAGTGGCTAAACATACGCGTGCACGCCAGATTATATAGCGCTTGTCAATCAGTATCATATCGATACACTTTCCCCCGATGTTGTTTGCACCTTATTAAAACCTACCCGCGTTTCCGCTCACAATTTACCTACCCCGGCTTCAGCGTGAATTTTTTTTAGTTCAGGCTACCCAAAACTCGACACGACGAGTGCACAGACACCCAGTCGGACAACTTTATACTAGATAACTGTATGTTAACACAATAGATCGCGATATCAAACGTTTAGATTGTCAATATTGCAATTATTGATTGTAACCCGATGTGAATCCCGATTTCATCACTCTAATTTTGTTGCTGCGTACATGTATAAGTGATTTGCATTTTGTAGCCGGTTTAACCTAGTTCTAAACTCCCATATTGAATCGTGCGAAGAAAACATTGACACTCACAGATCAAACAAAGCTACGAAATCGTGACAGATTGGTCACGCGATTGGTCACACGATTGGTCACGCGATTGGTCACGCGATTAGTTGCGTTGTCACGATTGCATCACAAGTAAAATATCACTGGCACTCTCGCACAAAGGCCACCACCACCCTCGGTTTTTGATTGCTCTCATTCTTCAATTCTCCCAAGACTTATCAATTTTCC